TATATAAAATTAAAATGCCTTTCTCTGCCCTGTTATCCCTAGCCAGAATATTCCTTGCAATCCATTTTGTATATCTTCCTTAAGATACAAATGTATTTTTACCATCCTTCGACTATATCTACCTTCCAGTATCAATAGGAAACCAGATACAAAACCCCACATTTTATTGCAAGAATGTGTCATTTCTCACTTTCGTCTCCTGTTCAGCTTTCACGAGACATGAATTATTCTCATTTCTATCTTTCCTCTGGTCTTATGTATTTATAATTGACAATATATTCTCTGGCTCTTTTTTAGTATGTTTGCACTTATGACATATGTGTGTGCATATGTGTGTGTGCATGTTTGTGTGTGTGAGTGCAGGCATGCTTGTACCATGATGCATGTGTAGAAGGCAGGGGGAAAACTTAGGTGTCAGTTTTAGCATTTCACCATGTTGGGAATAAGGTCTCTTGCAATCATGGTGTATACCAGGTTGTCTGGCAGGCAAGCTTCCAAGGCCTCTCCTGTCTCTCGCTCCTGCCTCACCACAGGAGTGCTGCCATTATAGCTGTGTACTGCTAGGCTCAGCTTCACATGGTTTCTTGGTATCCAAACTCAGGTCATCACACTTACATGGCAAGTGACTTTATACACTGTACTTTCTCTCCGCCCACAGTTTCCAGTTCGGATATTTGATACTAACCAGATGTTTTCCTTTTGCAGACTTTATCAGCTTTTCTCTGATAGATTTCTCTGTCTACCTACCCCACTGCAAAGGTCACTCATGTACCACTCAACAGTCCATCTGCATTCTGAGGAACACATTATTAAACAGTTTCACTACTGTGACAACAGCATAGAGAAGTCTTGCAAACTAAGATGGCTACAGTCAATATACTAACATAGTGTAATGTGGCCACCATCATATATGTGCCATACATATTGGACCCAAATGTCAGTTATTTGGTACATTTACTTTGCCTTTAACAGACTCTATTACCAATTTATGCACTTATTTATGTACAAACAAAATATGTTCAAAGAGTGCCTGCTGATAGAGCAATAGCCTTGATGGATTTTAAAAAGCCATCAGCCTTTATATAAACTCTGGAATATGCTTTAAATATGTTGTAAAAAATGTTATCTTCACTTAGGAGTTTCTGTGTTTCCCTTACTGGCATCCTTTTTTCAAATCATGATCAAGAATCATTTGCTTATAAGACAATTCTAAAAATTTTTATTACATTATTTTGTGTGTGGAGATATTTTGCCTACATGTATGTTTGTGTGGTATGTGCATGTTGGGTGCTTGCCAAGGCCAGAAGAGTGTATCAGATCCCCTGAGACTGGAGTTACAAACTGTTGTGAACCACCATGCAGGTGATAAGAATTGAACCCAGATCCTGCGGAAGAGAACAAGTACTCTTAACCACTGAGCCATCTCTCCAACTCCCATATACAGGAATTTAAGAGCAGCTGATACTGGTAGTAATTAATTGGATACTTTAAAGAAGCACTTGGTCCCATGTATTTAAAAGTTTGATATTTTTTACGAATCCCATTTTCTCCTTGCAAAACACCCCTGACAGTGTGTAGTTAACTCCTACCAATCACAAATGTCTTCCTCTTGATGTGGTGGAAGGGCAAAGAAAGATAAAGTATGGTAACCAATTTTTATATAGATATATGTCAAAGCCTATCCAGTCTTAAGATGACCATTAGATTTGTGATTAAATTGTCCCTTAGTCTAATACATACCACTTCCCTGCTAAAATAAACTGTAGGCTTCTACAGTGGATATTCAAGGTGGATAATAGGTAGAATTTTACTAAGATCAGATATTCAGAACTGAAAATAAGTTCTTGTCTGCAAAGTCTAAGTTCACCTGTAGTTAGCCGTCTTTCTACTTGTTTGTATCCCAGTGTTAGAAGACCAGGACGAGGGCTATAGCTTTCTCCTATCTTTGTCATGCTGCTTCAACTCTACCCTACTCTTCTGAGCGTGTTTGGTGGATTGGCACTGAAGTCCTTGACCCTACTCTTCTGAGTATGCTTGGTGGATTGGCACTGAAGTTCTTGACCCTACTCTTCTGAGTGTGTTTGGTGGATTGGCACTGAAGTTCTTGACCCTACTCTTCTGAGTGTGTTTGGTGGATTGGCATTGAAGTTCTTGACCCTACTCTTCTGAGTGCGTTTGGTGGATTGGCATTGAAGTCCTTGACCCTACTCTTTTGAGTGTGTTTGGTGGATTGGCATTGAAGTCCTTGACCCTACTCTTCTGTGTACGTTTGGAAGCGTGGCACTGAGGTCCTTGGTTTTAAGCTGCCTTGAAACAGTCAGCAGCAACACCAGTGCTATTTAGTTGAAAGGATCAAAGGAGAGGAAAAGTACGTATAAAGAGTGGAGATGCTGTTTCTGCATTCTCTGGTGCAAATGATAGCTGCTACCTGAGCCATATGTGGTTCCTGTTTGAAGTGGAAGCCGTATTCTGTTTTTGCAGTGTAGCATCACAGTGTGGTATCTCGGTAGTTCTGTGAGTCATCTGTTTCTATAAACCGTATTTAATGTCAGTAAATGGTTGTTTGACACATTGTCTAGCAAGTGTACTTATTTTATTTATAATCAAATGTGTTTTTGTCAATTTAAATGCATATACACATATAGATATTCACCTTTTACGTTTAATATGTGACTATTAATATGGGATAATATCAAGAAAAGTATTTTATAGCAAGTTCTAGGTATGTATCTCTCAAGCTTAGACCATCATTTTCTTGTTTTGTGATTATTAGGTCTCATATATTCCATTATAATTACATACTTTTAAAAGTTCTAGCAGGGGGTTCTTTACTCATTTTAAAGTCAGCCAGAAGGACTCAGGGCAAATCCTGATATGTATTCCTGGTAAGATAAATATGAGCTTTCTTGGAATAAATAACACACACACACACACACACACACACACACACACACACACACACACACACACAATTTGTGAACAATGAAGAACTCTGGGATTCCTATGGATAAACTCTAGGTGAGATGGCAAGAGGAGCTATCAGAGGGCTTTGCAATTTTTCCAGCCCAGAATATTCCTCCAAGTTGTGGGAAGTTTCCATCTCTTTCAGTGTATAAATTCCTATAACACTCAGGTATGCTTGCAGATGGAAAAAGCGAACAACTGAAATAATCATTCGAGGCACATCTGTGCTAAACAATCTGGAGGTATTCCTGTTATCCCCCAGGGCTGAGGTAAGAGAGTGAAGATGAGTGAAGCAGGTAAAGGCTGTTGTTGTGAAGTTGTCTGCTGCCCTCCACTAAAGGTAGGGAGAGCATGTCTTAGGCTTCAGGGCCTTACTGCACAGTGCTGCGCATGGAACTCTTAAACATCTACTCAAGATGAATGGAACCTATGCAAGCAAGAGAGAGATTTCAGAGCCTCATAGCTTTTTAAACATCAGGGTTGAGAGCCTGAAATTGTCCCTCCTTCCTGGTCCAAAGTAAGCTCTTCACCTCTGTAAAAGAAATACTGGTATCAGAGCTCATTCCTTGAAAACATGTGATGGTGTGGGTTGGTATTACGGTAAGTTGGAGGCAGTTTTGAGAACCATAATTGAGTTTATGCTTAAAGTTTTCCTTAAGACTTCTTGTTCATTGTCCCTGAATATGCAAAGGACTTAAATCTTTAGACCTATAGTGACAGGTGGATATAACTGAGACATGATTTAGCCCAATCATTAATTTTTACAGCTAAAGAAATTTGTATTTTAGAAATAAATTTTCTCTGTGTCTCTATCTCTACACACCATAAACATGCATGGATATGAACTTATAAATGCATATTTATATAAACTATATTGAGTTCATTATTTTGCAAATAATGTCTATATAAAATATATACTATCTAGGTATATTTGGAGAGAGAGAGACTAAATTCTTGTACATAGGGAAATAAACTGAGTATTCTCTTTGAAGAATTCTGTTCTTTTAGATTTGTTTTTAATTATGTGTATGTGTCTGTGTCTGTGTCTGTGTCTGGGTTTGTGCATGTGAGTGCTGGTACCCACGGAAGTACCAGGACCCCCTGGAGTTAGGGTTACAAGTCATTGTGAGCCACCTAAAATTGGTGCGGGGAACTGAACTCAGGTCCTCTGAATGAGCAGTACATCTTCTTAACTGATGATCTATCTCTCTAGTCCCCAGAAGGATTCTTAATCCCTCAGCAACTTAGAAGCTATGTGTGTCTTCATGAAGTGATCTCTCTGGTTTCAAAGAACAGAACAGGGCTTTCAACTGCAAAGGAAATAAAGTTAGTTAGAAGGAAGAAGGAACTTTCAAAGACTGAAGCCTGACCTATCACAGAAAGTCTGATGGTTCTCCTATTCTGGGAAACGGTCATCAGAATCCAAGTGCATGCTAGGGCCAGTGAGTACAAAGGAGCAGATGCTTTCTACGCCCAAGCTCTAGTCTCCCTTCTAAAACACATCCCCCTCACTTGTAAAATACGGTACAACCAACTACCTCTTCAATATATATTAGGAAAATAAATCAGGCCTATTCCCTAGATGGAAACAGTGCAACTTTGGAGGTGTGCCTTTCACATGATCAGCATTGAGAGAGATGGGAGAATGGGAAAATGAGGGACTTTGCCCCTGGTCTGCACAGGGGTTCTCTTTACTGGTCTGTTTATGTGAGCCAAGATTGTGGCAGCCATGCCTGTTTCCCTCTGTATTGTTTATGACAAGTTTTGCATGCTCTTAGCAGGCCTGAGCCACTATAATGAAATACTTGTTAGTCCAGGCCTAACACGTGAATGTTGCAGTTTGCCTACCCTGTTGTGGAGCGTGAGGGTTAGAAGCTTTTAGAGAAGGGTGGGACTTGCTGCCTGTGCCTCTGAAGAAGGCAAGGAGTGAAGACCATGAGGGAGTGTAACCCTTGCTCCATGTTGTCTTTTCCTTCCAGCTCAAGGTTCTATAAAAAGCCCTCATACTTAACACTTTGTTCTCTGTCCTTTGCCAGATTCTGACTTGAGCATGCGGACACTGAGCACGCCCAGCCCAGCCTTGATATGTCCGCCAACTTTGCCAGGATTTCAGAATGGAAGGGGCTCCTCCACTTCTTCATCCTCCATCACAGGGGAGACAGTGGCGATGGTTCACTCCCCACCCCCGACCCGCCTCACTCACCCACTCATCCGGTTGGCCTCCAGACCCCAGAAAGAGCAAGCCAGCATAGACCGGCTCCCGGACCACTCCATGGTGCAGATCTTCTCCTTCCTGCCCACCAACCAGCTGTGCCGCTGTGCACGTGTGTGCCGCCGCTGGTACAACCTGGCCTGGGACCCGCGCCTCTGGAGGACTATCCGCCTCACGGGCGAGACCATCAATGTGGACCGTGCCCTGAAAGTACTGACCCGTAGACTTTGCCAGGACACACCCAATGTGTGCCTCATGCTGGAGACTGTCATTGTCAGTGGCTGCCGGAGGCTCACAGACCGAGGACTTTACACCATTGCACAGTGCTGCCCAGAACTGAGGCGCCTGGAAGTCTCAGGATGTTACAATATCTCCAACGAAGCTGTCTTTGATGTGGTGTCCCTCTGCCCCAACCTGGAGCATCTGGATGTGTCAGGTAAATGGAAACTGAACTCAAGACCTTGGTGTTCTTAATGCACCACCCAGAGTAGTAGAGACATTGCTGCTGATAGAGGGTCCCCTTCTCTTATTAATATTTCTTTTTACTTTTTTATATAATTTAATTTAATTTTACATATCAGCCACGGATTCCCTTGTCCCATCCCCCCCCCCCCCCCCCCCGCCTTCCCCCCAGCCCACTCCCCATTCCCATCTCCTCCAGGGCAAAGACTCCCCTGAGGATTGAATTTAACCTGGTAGATTTAGTCCAGGCAGGTCCAGTCCCCTCCTCCCAGGCTGAGCCAAGTGTCCCTGTATAAGCCCCAGGCTTCAAGCAGCCAACTCATGCACTGAGTACAGGACCCGGTTTCCCTGCCTGGATTCCTCCCAAACAGATCAAGCTAATCAACTGTCTCCCTTATCCAGAGGGCCTGATCCAGTTGGGGACCCCTCAGCCATTGGTTCATAGTTCATGTGTTTCCATTTGTTTGACTATTTGTCCCTGTGCTTTATCCAACATTAGTCTCAACAATTCTCGCTCATAAAACGTGAGTGGGGGTAATGAAGGGCAAGGGTCTTTTTACATTTTTAAAATTGTGTGTATTTGTGTATCTGTGTAGAGGTATGTGCATAAGAGTGCAGGTGCTCACAGAGTCCACAAGAGGGCATTGCATCCACTGGAGTTGGAGTTAAAGGCAGTTGTGGGCTGCCCATCATGGGTGCTGGAAACTAAACTCAGGTCATCTGGAAAAGCAGTGTGTGCTCTTAACCACTGAGTCATCTCTCCAGTCCCCAGCATGTACTTGCTAGCCTCCAGAGATGGACAGTGCATAGTAGGGAGGCTAACTGGTCTCACTGTGGACTCATAACTCTCAAGGCCAGAAGTAGCCCCTGCATTGAACATATGCCTCTTTAAGGAACTGTGGGCACCTTGGTTGGGTTGGGTCAGTCTACCTTAAATGTGACCTTATACTCCAGAACAACCATACATAATGGAAACCAAAAATCTAATTAAGACAAATAGAAGGAAATAGCTAATTAAACAGGTCATTCAGAAACCTGCCTTTTGTATTTGTTATCAGTTAGTAGAGCTTGTGAGCCATGGTAAAGCCACAGCGATGTCCCTTCATGCCATGTCCTGACCTGACAGTCCACCATGGGGAATAAAATGCAGGCCTGGGAGCTGTGCTCACAATGGCTTGTCTTTCTCTAAGCACTAGGGAAGTCTATCATGGTCAAGTGATGCCCCCCTCCCCCCGCCATTCTCCTTTGGGTTAATTTTACAGCTCTTTTAAAGCATTTCTCGGCTACATAGTACAAGGACAGGGTCCATTGAATCTGACTTTTCATTCTTTTGAAAATGGAAGGAAATCCCAGTATAATTGCTTTACTTAAAAGTCTCTCTTAGGCAGGAAGAATTAAAGCCCAGAGTCATACTTTGGCGCCAGACGGGGACCCAGCCTGAATAACAGCCCCTTTTTTAAAAATCTCATCTGCTGTGTAGTCAAAAGATGAACATTACAGAGGCCGAAATGTGTAAGCTGTGTCAGAGAGTCTTGAAAAAGAAAAAAACGAGAAGATGAGCTGTGACCTCAGGAATGGTGGGGGAAAGGTCAAAAGGTGAGACCCACTGTGTCGGACAAATACATAGGATTTGGGATTTACAAGAATCTGAGGTAGATGAAGCCCTTCAAAAAAAATTGGAGGTAAAACAGCTTCCAGCTTGTTCTGCCTTTCAGAAGCCGACATCTGAAAGTATTTCAGCTGATAGCCCATTATTTTTGCAGATTCTTTCCCTGGCTGGAAAGCTGCTTACTGCTCTTCTGCTTGAGCTGGCTTCAGGACAAAGCCATCGTTACTGGGTTAGATTAGTCATGAGCAGCCATTGGCATACAGAAGCGGGAAACAAGGAGGCCTTCTTAAATCCTTCCTCCAAGGAACTCTGGAGAACATGGAGCCTTGAGATTTGGGACCATGCGCTTAGCCCTTGGAGCTACAACGTGGTGTGTTTTCTCTTTAGCAAAGAAATAAAGTTGACAAATTCTTTCCCATTCTTGCCATCTGACCACTTCACAAACAGTTCCTTGTGTTTTCTCAGACTAGAAAATGACTGGTTTAGAATCTCCAACTTTGTCAGAGCATGTTTCCAGGTGTTCTTCATAGAAAGCAAGTAATTATATTCTGTTGTTTGAGGGCCTTTTGAAATTCTGAAATGACTAAAGCCACTTTAGCTGTTTGGGGCCAGGATTATTGAGCTTTCTGGCCTGAGTAAGCTTGCTGTACCACTTGACTCACTGTTACTAAGTCTTGCTATCTGTCCTCTACTTCATGTCATTTTCATGTTTATACATATTTCTATAGCTTCTTGACATAAAATATTTATATTATAATTCAGAACAGTAGCAAAATTACAGTTATGAAATAACAACAAAATAATGTTATGGTTGGGAGTCACCACAACATGAGGAACTGTATTAAAGGGTCACAGCATTAGGAAGGTTGGGAACTACTGCTCTAGATAACATGGGATTGCCTGTGCTATATTAAGCAAGGTAGAAAGGGCTAATGTTTAACATTATATTTCCAAATCACTGGTAATTACCATAGCAAGATATAGCATCTTGCTATTATTACAAATTACCTTTTATTAGTATTTTAAACATACTTAGGATATATTAACCAACTAATTTTGAAAATTAAAATGTAATTGTTGCAAATAAAGTTAGTTCAAAGGGACTGTCTCCAACAGGACACCTGAGAACCACCCATTTTTTTCCTCCAGAATCTATCTTTCTAATCAGCAGCATCCTATCTAGGCCAACCTAATTTCCCAGTCCCTGGAGTTCATGCCCTCTCCCCTACCTGCCTGCCTACAAGGGCACTTCATCAACTGCTCTTTTCAGCACTTCAATCCACACTCCACATATTCAACTTCTGGAAGAAATTTTTTCAAGTTGTAAGTCTTTACTTTCATATATAAAATCTCCAATTAGTCTCCATTTAAGACTTGCAGGAAAGACTCATGTTTCTCCATAGCTCATGTAAGGCCCCAGATGAGTTGTCCTTCCAAAATTCAAATCCCATTCCTCCACAAAACTACCTGCAGATCGCCAAACACAAAATACTTCTTCATTCAGTAATGAATGTCTACCTATATGGTTTCCATACTAGTCCCTTTTCTGCTCCTATCCCAAACCTTCCCAGCAATTCTTTTAAGAGATTTGCCATTTCTCAGGTGGAATCTCACATGAACACAGTCTTTCACACATCATGTTTAGTGAGCCAAGCATTTCCTCTTGGTGTCTGCATTATGAACATAAGAAACTAAAACATCATTAAATTTACATTCTGTTACTTGCGTATTTCCAGGTCCCTTCCTCTCAAGTCATGAGCTTTTTTATGGACAGAAACAAGGGATTTTTATTTTGTATCTTGTATTTAAGTGGAAATAGAAGTTCCAAAGCCTGAAATGGACATCTTAAAAGAGTTCAAATTTCTACTGCTTAGTATACCAAGCAGCATCATTGAAGCTGTAAAACAGCAGTCAGAATCCCCTCCTGACTCAAATTAGGGGAGCTGAGGCATGACTGAGTTCATTGTGTTAGGTCATGGCATGCACTCTACTGAGAAACATGAACAGATGCTCAATAAACAGCAACAATAATGTTTTTATCAACAATCTTAAAAGTTAGTCATTGATATTCACTGATGGGACTACCTTGCATTCTAGAGAAAGTGAAGATGCCCCCCACCCCAAATGAAAGTAAGTCATGATGCAGAGAAGATTTGTGAGGGCTAGAATCAATACTTACTTAACCTCTGTTGCTCACATTGGTATAATAATGTTCACCCCATCCACCCCCTTTATCTTGGACTTTGGGGCAGTCCCCCATGTTCTGGCCCTAGCCAATCTTTTTTTATTTTTCTGTTAAAGCTTTCCAGAAACCGTAAGATCTACCCCATGAACATTCCTTGCTCCTCCAAATACTAAGTGAGTTCTGGCCTCTCAAATTTGGCTTCCTTTGTTTGAATATGGGTACTTCATGTGTATGTATCCAAGTTGTTTCTCTTCAATGATCTCCTTAAATACAGCCATGTCAAAAAGCTTATTCACAAGTGTCTGCATGTGTGCCTCTTGATGCCACATCTACTGAAGATCCCTGTGTAACCCACAATTCTGCCACATAATACTCATCCTTACCTCCCTCCTCTTATTGAAGCCTCAAACAGTTGTGGAACTTGCTCTAGTCTGTGTGTAGAAGGCACAGAAGGTACATGCCACATCTTTTAAAATTAAAGTTTAAATGAATGATTTCTTAGAGTCCTTTCATGTCTGTAAAACAGGAATGTGTAAACTATCCATTAGTATTACTGAACCATGAAAAAATTTATTTTCTTTCCAATACAAACTCAACAATTCCATAATAATTACAGATAGCCATAACCTTAAAATTTACTGATAGAAAGCCATACAAGCATATTGAAATCATTTACTGAAACTGTACTAAACTAATATTTTCTTAAATTTGAAACCCCTATTTTTCAGATATACTTTTGCCTAAATATTGTGTCTTTCCTGGTGCACAACAGATTTTGCTTGATATTAAGAATGTAGAAAGGAAACTAGAATAAAAATAGAGGAATAGCCGGGCGGTGGTGGCGCATGCCTTTAATCCCAGCACTTGGGAGGCAGAGCCAGGCGGATCTCTGTGAGTTCGAGGCCAGCCTGGGCTACCAAGTGAATTCCAGGAGAGGCACAAAGCTACACAGAGAAACCCTGTCTCGAAAAACCAAAAAAAAAAAAAAAAAGTAGAGGAATAAAATTTATTATTTAATACAAGAAAACAAGAATGCCTTCACAGACAACACAGATCGGAAGAAAAATTCAAAATATGCAGGATTACAGTCATCTCAAAGAAAGAAACAAAAAAAATTGGAAGAAAGGATCTCAAAGTTAACCACCTCCCAGAAATCCATGTCGCCCCACAGAGGGGAGCCACGTCTCTTTTCCATGATTGGTGATGTGCTTCACGCCTTAAAATCCTGCCTTGGAGCACATGACATTGGAACCCTGTTATTTCCAGGACGTATGACTTATCAGAGTTTCCTGGACAGCCTGCCAGGAGGTGGGAGAAAAGTCCCCAATACCATTGTCATTGTGCCGCTCACAAGCCTTAGGATATTGCATTGACTAGCCAAAATCTGGGGGTGTCTGAAGTGAGGTGCCTGGTTGTGCACCTGCAACAGGGATCTGATAAGAGTAGGGAGAAAAAATATGTAGTAAAATGGGAGAGACTCTAAATATAATTTCTATAGTTTATATTAATGGGTATTGACTATATAATAGAAGTTGGCTATATATGTTTTTATAAAGTAATATTTAATGAGTATTTCATTATTATATGTAATATAATAGTTAAACTTGTAATATAAATACATGTAATTTTATACATAGTTTTAGGGGATTAAGAATGATGTCTTGGAGTTATCCAAAAATATCTTCTTGGACATTACTACCCTGGTCTATAAAAGTATTAAGAATCAGATAAAAAATATTCCTCACAGTACTTTATAAACTTCGTAAGTCAACACAAATAAAAGTCATTCCTATTAACTATAAAATAAACAACTATTTTTTTAAGGTAGAGCTACTTGAGCTAAGGTCAAAGTCTGAAGACATGTAAATGTTGGAAGTTCAGTTCTCCCATCTGATCTATTTTGGAGGCGTTCCTCTGTAAATCATTTCTTCCCTCCCTCATTCATTCATTCAACAGACATTTACTGAGTGCCAGCTATAAACTGAATACAAGGAGTATGGTGATCAACCTACCTGAGTGCTTTCCTTCAGGAGCTTACATTCCAGAGTAAGGAGACAGCACATGAATAACTGAACAGATAGACATGCAACACTACCAACTGATAAAAAAAAATGCTTAAAATAAAGGGTACATAGTCAGGGATGCTAGCTTATACATGGCAGTCCAGGAAAAAATATTGTTCATGAAATTACTATTATCTTGGGGACATAAGAAAGTTGAAGGTGGTTCCTAGAGCTATCTGAGGAAGATCCTTCCATAATACAGGCACAGGGGCTACCAGACAGGGCAGGGGTGATGTCTGGGAAATGACAAGGGCTCAGTAGGGTCAGTGGTAAGAGAAAAGGGAAGCCCTTGGATGATCTGCTAGACCAGATTTTATACTTGGCACACAGTAGGTACCATCTAAAGACTCTGAGCACAGGTGATTTGAGTGCCCTTTCTAGGCATCCGATTACAGCTGTATGGAAACACTGAAGGGGATGAGGGCAGAGCAAAAGAGGGAGACAGGTAGGCAGGTCAGGACAGTGATTTAGATGGCATTGCCATCGCCTATCAGCACCTGGTGAATCAAATCCCAGACATTGATTTTGGTAGAGTAATAATGACAGAACTATCCTATAATTTTCAAAATATTTTAACTTTTGCTCCACTTTGGGTCATTCTATTCCTAAAGGATAGGATTGCCAGGCACTCATCCATAGCACTGAGATGCAGAAAGTTTGGCCTCATGACTGAAGCAGTGAAAAGTGGTCCCAAACTAATGTCAACTCTCAGCCCGGGGAACCCAGCAGGGTCTGCCCCAGCAAGTTCCAGCGAGCTCTCTCCCTGTTCCTCTCTTTCACTTCATTTCTTTGAACCAAGAAGCTACTAGAGCACTGCCAGACCTTTAGGGACTTCCTGAGCCTCGTAGGGTCACAGCCAGATATTAGGTACATGGTCTCACTCCATTACAGCTTCCCTGCAGGCAAGGGCCTGTGCCCATTTTATGACCAAGAAATTATAAAGTGTGGTTTGCTGTAGCTAAAGAGTTTTCTCTCTGGGTCCCACCAAGCCCTGGCAGTCCAACAGCCCACTTATAAAATAAACACACAGACAATTTCTATTAATCAATACTTTGCCACGTGGCTGGTGGCTTACCGGTACCTTACATCTTCCTTGTCATGGCGGTGGCTGGCAGTCTCTCTCTCTCTCTCTCTCTCTCTCTCTCTCTCTCTCTCTCTCTCTCTCTCTCTCTCTCTCTCTCTCTCTCTCTCTCTCGTTGGTGTTTCAAATTCTATTCTTGGTATTTTCAGTTCTAAAGTCTGCAAATCCCCTAAGCCCAAAATTCAGTAAAATTGTCAAATAACCCAACAAATAGGAAATCATTCCTAAAACCGTTCTCTTTAGAGGTCAAGACCCACAAGAGTTAACCCCTGGATTGGGCTAGAGAGAGGGCTAAGAATCACTTACAGCTCCCGCCCCTCTGGCAAGTTGATCTGAGCATGTGTTCTGTCTTCATGCAGGGTGCTCCAAAGTTACTTGCATCAGCTTGACCCGGGAGGCCTCCATTAAACTGTCCCCCTTGCATGGCAAACAGATTTCCATCCGATACCTTGATATGACGGACTGCTTCGTGCTGGAGGACGAAGGCTTGCACACCATCGCAGCTCACTGCACGCAGCTCACACACCTCTATCTGCGCCGTTGCGTCCGCCTCACCGACGAGGGCCTCCGCTACCTGGTGATCTACTGCACGTCCATCAAGGAGCTGAGTGTCAGTGACTGCCGCTTTGTCAGCGACTTTGGCCTGCGGGAGATCGCCAAGCTGGAGTCCCGCCTGCGGTACCTCAGCATCGCCCACTGCGGCCGCATCACGGATGTGGGCATTCGTTATGTGGCTAAGTACTGCAGCAAATTACGCTACCTCAACGCGAGGGGCTGCGAGGGCATCACGGACCATGGCGTGGAGTACCTGGCCAAGAACTGCACAAAACTTAAGTCTCTGGACATTGGCAAATGTCCTCTGGTCTCTGACACGGGCCTTGAATCCCTGGCTTTGAACTGCTTCAATCTCAAGAGGTTAAGCCTCAAGTCCTGCGAGAGCATCACGGGCCAAGGCCTGCAGATCGTGGCCGCCAACTGCTTTGACCTGCAGATGCTGAATGTCCAGGACTGTGAAGCTTCAGTGGAGGCCCTGAGGTTTGTGAAGCGCCACTGCAAGCGCTGTGTCATTGAGCATACCAACCCTGCTTTCTTCTGAAGGGACAGCTTCCATCGGGCATGCTTTCACAGCAATGTGAACCAATGCTCTGTAAACGTAGCCCACGTAAGCACCCACACCCACTCATAGCCCCTGTTTCTTCCGTGAACGTTCTTAGGAGTCTGGCTTTTTATTTTTATTTCTTATGAGCAAACGAGGTCAAAGAAGGAGGAAAACCAAATTTCTACCATGGTAAACTGGTTCTGGTTGGTTTGTTTGTAGACATATCCTCTCACAAAGGATGCATGCACCTCCGCAGGCTGGTCACTGTGTCTTCTGAAACGCACCTTACCTCATCTTCCCTTCCCCCTCCTGTACATAAGCCATTCCCCCAAAGTTCCACACCCTCATCTTCCAAGCCTGCAACAGCTGCAGCATTAAGCATCAGAATACGCCCTCTGAAGCTGCCTCTTAAACTAATTGGTGGGCAAAAGCCCCACTCCTAAATTCCACACCAAGCAAAATTGGGGTTAAAGTAGCGTTAACACTTTATATGTGCGAAGAGCTTCCCTGTGTGAATGCATTATGGCAAATCACACGGCGTAAGAGGAGACATGTTTTCTCTCCCAGCTCTGCCACTAACTAGCTGTGTGACCTTGGTCTAAAAACACCTCACCTTTCCGGGCTTCGGCTTCCCACCACCAGATGCCAGAGGTAGGGGGCGAGCCTCATGCCCCTTTTAGAGTTGAGAGAATAGTGATGCCGATAAGCACAGTTTTGCATAAAGAACTTGGTGTAAAGCACACAGAGAGCACTTCTGAGAGAATTGGTTGTGTGGATGAGCTGTGCTTTCAGGAGGTACTGTGGGGTAACCGTCAGTGCACACAGGATCCGGGTGCACATAGGGTCCGGGGTGCACATGGGATCCTGGGTGCACATAGGGTCCTGGGTGCACATGGGGTCCTGGGTGCACATGGGGTCCTGGATGCACATAGGGTCCTGTGTGCACGTAGGATCCTGGATGCACGTAGGGTCCTGGGTATACATAGGGTCCTGGGTGCACATAGGGTCCTGTGCATCTCCTTTTACTCTCCTCTGAGAACCAACACAAACTCTGTTTGGTGGGCTAGGCTTTTGCACATCTTCTGCTATGTTGGATGCTTCGACTTCCATGCACGTGTGCTGTAGCATTCTCTCACACCATCACATCCAGCCCAGGCAGGCAGGAGAGTGCACCATGACAGGAAGCCTGTATCTCCCTGTCAGCTTGCACCTTCGAGCATTTTTCAAATCTAAGTAAAGACCCTTATAATTTTTAATTAACAAGTGAGGTCCAAGGGAACCCACATCCTTAAAGGTGTTTCTAACCCTTCTCGGGACACATATGCTATGCTTCAGGCACATCTGTCCTGCAGCCCGGCAGGGACAGACACCTTGGTCCTTTGTCATTCACATTTTATCTCGACTCCTGTCATCTATTTATTTCTCCATCAGATGAGGCCCATTGGGGTTAAGTTTATAAGTGTCTAATTGTACAAATACCACCTTGCCTGCTGTCTACATGTTTTCCACTAACTAATGTAAAACAGGCTTGCAGGTGTTTCAATATTGTTCCCTCAGAAGTGCCAGGCACACAGAGGAGGGAGCACACTGATAAGCCAGATGCTGGTCCACCCATCAAAGCACTGGGACAGAACATGAAAATCATTTCAAAATTTGAATTTTAAGTTGATGGACTTTCAAATGCTCCCTTCTGAATAGAAAGCAATTTACTAGTTTCATTTTTAAAAATCAGATAGAAGAAATCCTGTCACTTTTTTTTTTTCATGAACTCCAGTTGTCTTTTGTTAGTAAACCCAGTACTTTCCCCAGTTTATTCTCTGGCTACTTTCCTTCTCCATCACTGTTGAAACAGTTCACCCACCTTCTTCTCCAAGTGTCTGTCCTCCGATCCCAGAGCCTCTGCCTCTCCAAGCCAAGCATGTGACATTGGCTCCAGACCAAGCTTATATATGCGCAGCTCGACAACTGCACTCTAGCTGTAGGCTCCGGTGTGTACTATTGTCTTGTGTTGGGAAGGAGACGTTAAGTGACAAACTGGCAACTCTTCAGGAGGTTCTGCCATCCATCCTGCAAATCCCAGCCTCTGTTCAGTTCACACCGTCATCAGCACAGATGGGTGAGCAAGATGATGTCATAAGGGAAAATAAAAGTTCAGCCTGGGGACAGGACCTAGTGACAGCCATTGAGTTTAGAATCATAGAAGGACTTCAGCATAGAACCCCTCCCTCTGCCCTCCTGACTTGGGGCTCTGCTTAAAGTTTGAGCTGAAGAGTCACCGTGGGTTGTCTGTAACCCTTGATATTGGAACATTCCAAATGATTTGGTTCACTACTCCCCAGAATGGGCAGGGGAATCCAAAGTGGTTCCCTGAGCCATTTTTAGTGACTCTATCATCACTGAGAGTACATCACCTGAACTGTCTTTCATGTGAGACCCAGGGGACATTTCACACTCGCTGGCTGCCCAGAACATGTCTCTTTCCCAGTTTCTCCCTTTCCCATCCTCTTCACCCATTCTGCTCTCCATCAGGGTAGGGGTATGGATCTGTGACAAAGGTTCCTGGGAACAGCTTGGTGGATTTTCTTGAGGCCAAGCAAAGGGCCTCTTTAAGAAATGTATCTGTTTTAAAACATGGCTTCCTTCCTGGCTCGGCTAAATTGAATGCTCATTTGTTGTTGCTGTTCTTTGTTTGTTTGTTTGTTTCTCTTTAACTCTAATGTTCAAATCACTGCGTGCTGTATGACTCTAGAAAGCCTTAATTTACTTCCACCAAGAAATAAAGCAATATGTTGGCAATCAGACTCAGTTCCATTTTTAATAATCTTGCCTGAGGTGGGTGCTGTTTGGATAGGGACATGGAAAAGCAAGCAAGCAATAAATAAATAAATATTAAAGTCACAACATGCAGCTCACTGCTGCTATTGTCCCTTTAAAGTTAGACCCAAGGTTTTGTTGTCTCCATGGACCTTAGGACTTTGGATTTAAATTGGCAGGTAAGTGAATAAAACATTACAGGTTGATCCAGGACTTAGTTCCTTATCCAGACTCTTCCCATGAGATTGTTGAATTCATAACTTTGCATTTTAAAGGAAATTATATTTGATGGATTTTATAATACCACAGAGAATCTGAGACAGTATCCTTAATTAAATATATTAGCATTCTGTACCAGTGAATATGGTGCAATGTAATTAATATTATTAAACATAATAGATAGCCTTGTATTAATCCAGGTCAGGTGTTAACATGTCAATTTATACAGTAAATAATTAAAATATTCCATTTTTCAGAAATGTATGGATTTCAGAATTATGGATGAATAATCATGGAGTTGAATACGCCCTGACTCTAACTTCAAATAGTTGAGAGAATCTTTAATGTTTTGCCATCCATGAGTGTCTTAGAGTATTAGAATATGGGAGAAGTTATGCAACTTGATGGAGAAGAAAATAATATCAGTCAGTTAGAAGAAGTGAAATGTCAAATTGTTCCCTCTTCACCTGAACCTTCAGAGTTAAATTAAATTAATACGGAAGGAAGAAAGGAAACAATTGGAGATCTTCACCCTTAGCATCTCGAAGGACTTTAGGGGGAATTGGTGTATCAACTGTAAATGTATTATCCTCAAACAACTTTTCAACCTGTATTGCGTTGACAGCTGTCACTTAAACCAACAGAACTGTTAATTACCTTGGAGCATTAATTTCAGGTAACTCAATTCTTGTCAAGATCTGAGAATAAGGATATTAGTGACTAAAGCCTACTCACTTCGAGACTCACTGACTTCTCAAAGTTTCAGCATTTGTTCACAATTAGACAATGCCTTCTAGATACTTGACTTTCAAGAGAATTCAAGTTAAAAAAGATTGGGTAGTTTAAGAGAAAAGGTAGTACAATGAAACTACTTACCGTGTCAACATTATCAAAGAGAAGCTACCAAATGTGTCAATCCTTGGCCATCATGATCGCTCCAGATAATTTTTTTAAAGTTAAGTATCTACTGGATGTGGAAGAAATATTGAAAGGCTAGGTAAATATTGCAATGAAAATACACTAAAAATTTGTGGTGTTTTCCACTTGGATGCTATTAGTCCATTATATTTTGGGGTTTGATATATATATATTTAGAAAATTGTTCTTCAGTAGGGAGAAATGCTGTTAGCAGTGAGCATGCCTCACTTGTTTTCAGGGTATGCTGGTGTTTGTAACTAGAGTTTTCCTGCCTTGCCCACAGTCAGGACAAATCTTTGTCACCCGCCAGTCCCACAGCTGCTCAGACCCAACCAAGTAAACACAGAGACTTATATTGCTTACAAACTGTAAGGCCGTGGCAAGCTTCTTGCTAACTGTTCTTACAGCTTAAATTAATCCATTTCCATAAATCTATACCTTGCCACGTGGCTCGTGGCTTACCGGCATCTTCACATGCTGCTTGTCATGGCGGCAGCTGGCAGCGACTCCTTCCGCCTTCCTATTCTTTCTTTTCTCCTCTCTGTTAGTCCCGCCTATACTTCCTGCCTAGGACTGGCCAATCAGTATTTTATTTATTGACCAATCAGAGTAATTTGACATACAGACCATCCCACAGCAGGTGTTATCACTCAGTCTTGCCTAAACACAACTCAAGTTCCCTAAAGATCAATTTGGGCTTGTTTCACTAGGTCACCACCAGAATACCCTGACACACACTCTTTTTTTCCCTTTCAGTACACTATCATTTCTTAAGCCAAGAGTTCATCTTATGGAACCCCCTTTACCATCCCCAGTTAGCAGATCAGGTTACATTCTAACTAATAACACCTTGACTCAGAAGTTATACAGGATATGAGGCCTGCCTTTCCACAAAGCAGATGTGACGTTGTCTGCTTCAAAAGCTCAGGAAATATCCATATCTCAGATGCCCATCTTATTGGCTACTCAAAAAACCCACCTTTCTGCTTTGAATGTTGTTCAAGGGTTTAGTGGTGAAAGTCACTCAGGTATCTGAGGATAGTGGTGAAGGATTATGTTGTCTAACTGGTAAATTTTTGTGTTGTGACATGTTTGTCTTTGCTCAGCTCCTGACGTCACACTGGTGAAATTGGAAAATCTAATCTATCCTAGGCTACATGGTAATTAATACACTAATAGACTATAGATTTCAATCATCTTCTCTCATAAGTTAAAAAGTGATCATGATAAAAAAAAATCAAGTAACTATTTATTGACCATCTACCATATGCCTGACTGTAGCTGAAAGTTTTCCTGTGCCCTCCCGACTCCCATGGCCTCACAGCCACTCAGACCCAAATGAACACAACAGAGGCTTATATTAATTACAAACTGTATGGCCTACTGGCTCAGGCTTCTCACTAGCTGGATCTTGTATCTTAAATTAACCCATTTCTATAAATCCATACTTTGCCACGTGGCTCCTGATTTACAGGTATCTTTACATCTTGCTCCTCATGGTGGCAGCTGGGAGCGTCTCCTCTGTTCTGCCTCTCTCCTTCCTCCTCTCTAGTTAGAATGTCCCGCCTAACCCTCTTCTGCCTCACCATTGGCCAAACAGCTTAATTTATCAACCAGTCAGAGCAGCATATCTTCACAGCATACAAAAAGACATTCCTCCATCACCAGACACTATGATAAAACGGAAGGGAATAGCCAGAACTGTAAGCTTGGTCGAAAAATCTATAGCTGGAAAAGGGAGGAGGGAATTACAGACTCTAAGGAAAAACACACTACTGCAGCCAAACTGCCTCCTATATACTTATGTTTATAAACATAGACCCGCAAGACTCAGCTGGGGTCCGAAAAACTTCTTTTATGCAGGGGATAATGGTTAGTGCACAGACAAAGAATAAGTGACTCTTGGGTGGTCAGCTCCAAATAAGACATCTGTATGAGCCCCTCTATGTCCCAGGGACCAGCACATCAAAGGAAACAGAAAGATGTTCAGACAAAGCAGATGGAGAGGAGCAGGAGGAAACACTGTCTCCTGGATATGACATGGCCATTGCAATTGTGAACACACAGCAGCTCTGGCTAGCTGTATAAGATACACACTAGCACACACACACACACACACACACACACACACACACACACACACACACTCACTCACACACAAACTTTAATGTGTTGCCAAGATAATTAATGCTATCAAATATTATCCCCCTGAGTATTCTCCACAAATGCTGCTTTGGACATTAAATAGTATCCCACTCTGTTACTTCTCAATGCCTACCTTGTCAGAATGGGAAACCAGCCTCAACGGTCTACTTCTCTAAGAGGCCCCTCATCATCACTTGTCTCTTATAACAGTATTTTGGTAAATTCTTCCAGGGCCAGAATACAGGCATCTCAATAAACACTTCTAAGATTAATGAGTGAATAATGTCATGTTTTTCCATTTAATTCTCTGACCCTAAGTTTTTGAATGTTTTAAATTTTTTGCCAGTTTCTTCCATGTACCTGATATATTGTGATGTTTGCACCACCTAAACTCTTTTTTATCATTCTTTAACTCCTGATGACTCACTTTTCCCATTGTGTCCCTTCCTACCCCCTTAGCTCATGGGGGCGGGGGGCAAGATGGAAACATTGTGAGAAAAAAAGGCCCTGAAATGTAATTTCTTTGAGAAGCTAAGATACCAAAAGCTTGCATGCCCCTTCAACAGCATATGTAATAATGGTAAAAAACATGGGTGGCCCTTATGCCTATAAACCTGCAATCAGGACTTCCAAGAATCTAACTGTTTCCTCTCTCAATTACCCTTGAAGTATTCAGCAGCAGGGCCCTCCTTGGGTATTAACTCTAGTTGCAAATACCTGTGATGAGGGGGATCGGAATAACTGGGGTTTCTCAATTCCGTTTACCATGTCCCTTCAGCGGAAAATGGACTGTGTCAGTCATCTTAGAAAACAGTGGGTGGTCTACGGAGAACTGGCGAAACAGCCTTCGGCGTTGCCTATAATGTCATTATGGATGAGTTCTTGGAAATCTCACGTGTCGTTAGGGTGGAAGATGTGAATTTATTTGTTCAGCGTAACCATGAACTGAAGAACCAAAGCTGCTACAAGTGCAAAGGCAATCAAAAGGCTTTTGAACAATGTCTCTAGGCGGAACGATGGTTGTCGTGGTTTTACAGAGCTCTCAGTGTCTCCCGGAATCTTCAGGCCCTGACTAATCCCATTCCCAGATAGTCATGCAAAACATGTAGGAGAGAGGGATTCTAGTTACAAAGATTAACCAGTAATTGATACTTCATTTACTTTCATTATTCGTTCAAACACTCAAGTACACATAGGCACGCTCTATCAATAACATGAAAACTAAAAAAAAGGAAGAAAAGCATTAGATTTCACACCATCTGTTTTTCATGGTATTTACATTTACAATTTAAACAAACTTACCAATGGCCTTTTTCATTTATGAGAAAGTAGATAAAGGGCTAGAATTGTCAGGACTGACAAACAGTCTCCTCCACTATTATCCGAGAGCCTGTGGTGGGTTTTGTTTCATTTTGTTTTGTTTTAAGATATGAAAGCCTAAGGAGATACAATTACTCTTTACAATTTTATATTTTTCACTCTTTGAAAATAACTAACAAGTGTTCTTAATTTCAACTGTACAGTTTCTTGGTTTCTAAGTATACACTGAGATAATCAAGATATATTGAGTTTCCATATTCTACTACCATTTGGTAAAGTGGCAGAAGAGACCATTTGGCCCTACAAATACTGACCATAGAACAGAGTAAGAGAGTTCCAATCTCTCCTTTCCTAATCTTTGCAAGCATGCGGTTAAACTTGTG